ATGAGGGAATATCATTCAACCCTTTACCCTCCATGAATAATAAACACCAAAAAAATTAAATTAAACTTGATTACATGGAAAATAAATTCCTTACACCTGAAATCCCCTCATTAATTAAGACATACAATTTTCACTTTATCTGTCTAAGAAGTAAGAAAATGTCTTAATAAATGATTCAATAAATTATAAATACTATAATAAAAGACTGACTAACTCATTAAGGTGGAATAATTACAGATACATAAAGAATTCAATTCTTAAGGTATTCCTCACTTACCTACTTCCATAAGGAACCACATATCGTCTTATTTATTTAATATATATATATATTAAATGAAAGAATTACAAAAACAACTGTTTAAATAAGTATTAAGACTACCAAAAATACTCCAAATGCTTTTTTACTAGGGTATAAAAAAAACCCTATTTGATTAATTAAAAAGTATATATAAATCACCATTTTTTCAAGGTAAAAAAAGAGGATTAAAAATGTCAGAAAATTTTAATAATTTACTAATCAAGGTGTCAGTTAATGATAGAAATATTTTTAAGATCATGAAACATGAAAAAGAAAACCATACATTACATTACAGCATCTAAATGTTAAAAATACAGACATCTTTTATCATTGGCTAGAAGAAAGGTAAAACTAAGCTGAAAGTAAATAAATTCAAGACAGCATAGAACCGATAATTATGAATTCAAAGAACGGCAAAAAAGAAAACGGAGCGATTATAAAGACTGTAATGATTAAATAAGTGTTCATTATTCCCTGAAAAAGGTTAAATAATAATAATTAATATTCTCTGTACATATTAATAAGTTCAAGATTATGAAAATCTTATGCTTATGCTTATAGAAAACGCATGATTGAAAAAATAAATAATTAAAATCAAATAATAGATTAATAATATAATTAATTAATAATTTCTATTGATATTTTGTAAATGTATAACTTATACTGATAACTAAACGCATTTCAACAAATTTGAGGTAATAATTCATGTTTGAGTATCTATTTATACTATTTTCTTTTAAATTAATCATGCTTTTCCACTTCTATTTTTACTCCTCTGTAAATTAAAATCTTATGTTTAGATCTCTTTTCGAATTAAGATTCTATAATTTAAAAATCACTTTTTTCTTATTGAGGGATGAAATATAAAAGAAATCATTAATATTTCTCTTGCCTTTCATTAATTCACTGTTTCTTATTAATTTCCCTTTAATAAATCTATAAAAGTAGTTTATCTTCTAGTAATCAGATTCAACAACAAAAACTTAATTAAAAATGTAGACTGGAGAATCGGATTCATAGAAGTAATTAGATTTATCATAATAATCTGTCCTTCAACGTTTTTGATCAAATTGATAGATTTAAGATTCTATTTTTTAAATATTGTAGAATGAAAAATATGAATATTTCATAAACCATGGATCAATTTATTTTATCCAAAAAAATAAATGCAGTTATTTAATAATTTTTGAAATATGAAAAAAATTTCATGTTTTTAAACATCATTTTGTGTTTAGTTAAGACTAAGTAAAATATTAATAATTTTTACTTCAATTAAAAATTTAATTATCTTTTTTTTCTTTTGAGGATAAGGAAAATGCTTAAGAGTCTTAAGATTAGTAATGATTATTCAAAAAATTGATCCATAATAACCCAAAAACTCCTTTTCCCTTAGATTACGAATATAAAAAGATATATATAAACTTCATACTATATAATTGGGGAAAGATATGCAATTATATCTATTAAATAGGAGCCCTATTATATTATTATTAAATTTTTTCAAGATTGGAGTTATTTTCCTTCACTTTAAGAAATCTCACATTTTAAGAGAAAAAATATATGGATTAGCAAAAGTAAAATTGCTATAATTTGATCAGTTACTATTCACTTGATTTCATCTACATAAAAACTTAGGAACTAACATTTTTTAATTTTATGATTAATAAATGCTATAGAGAAGGAATTTAAATATATTATCCAAATACTAGATCTGTTAAGTTCTTTCAGATTTATTAATATAAGTTTAGAAATTGAAAAGACAATAGAGCTTCTAAATTATTTTGTTGAATGAGAAGTATCGAAAAGAATCTAATTACAATCCTGCTATAAAATTTTCAAAAACACATCAAAATACCATCCCTAAATATCTATGATAGTGGTTAGATTAGTTTATTAAATTTTAAAGTATATCCTCTGTTAGTCTTTATGAACGGAAACAAATCTATAGACCCTACCATCATAATAAATTGGATAAATATCATCATTATCTAGCATTGGAAATTAAATATTTTTTTTAACAATCTTGGTTATTATTGATTAAAAAACAAAATATAATTTGTACTTATTTAATTAAATGGTTAATTTTCAATTGAATTTTATTTAATTTAATTCTTTTCTATCTAGAATTATATAATATTAAATTGATTGATGAATTAATCATAAATTATAAATTGAATAAATTTTTATTAAATGATTATCTTAACTTTTTTTTAAAACTGATTATAATTTGAAGGAGCAAAATAGAAAAGAATATTAAATAAAATAAATCTAATATCAAATAAATATCAGAATTCACATAATTGCATAAATATGAAAGAGTTCATCTAATTTTAGTGATATACTTCAAAATAATCATTCTTAAGAATATCTTAATTGGTTCCAAAATGATATAAAATAAAGAGAATGAACTAATTAAAATGGGAGAAATTTAAATATTGATTAATTAAAGGTCTTTTTAATTAAATATATATATATTGATAATTTGACAAGTTTTCAATTAAAGAATAAATTCCAGATAACAAAAGAAATATATTAGTAAATAGATAATCACAATTCAAATACTCCATTTCTTGTCAAATCTGTATATAGACCAAAAAAAATCAAGAAAATAATTTTCATAAATAGAAAACTTTTGCAATTGATGAAAAAATTGCCGATATTTTGATGTAATCGAAAAAAAGATATTTCCAAAAATGAGAATGGTATCAGCAAACTTATTATGATTGATCGTTCCAAAAACCGATAACTTTTTGTAAGAATGATACTTTTTGTGTAAAAAAAGGATAATTTTTCATGAATAACTAGATACTAAAAATAAAATTTACTTTGAAGAATAATTTGAATACAGAAAATGTCCTTGATAAAAGTGTAAAATTTATTTATCCTTATTTTTGAGTTTCATCCCCTTAAATCTGAATCTACTCTGTTAAAAATTGGTTGTTATTTTGATTTAATTTCGATTGAGACTAATTCATAATAAAAGAAAAAAGAAAAAGTAATGAAGATGCCTTCAATAGTAGAATTGGTTATTCATTTAATTGTAAATTTGAATTATCCACTCTATATTCATAAAAAGAATTGGGTGTAAAATTTTATTTTATATTTGAATTTGATTTAAAAAATGCTTCCTAATTTATGATATTTACAAGAGACTTAAACAGTTTAATTATCATTTCCCCAGTTAATAAATCATATTTAAACAATTATCCATCCTAATGGATATTAACTCAATGATAAGGATTAAAGTTTATCTTGAGAACTTATTCTTAACAGTATGGAGTTTGATACATATCGATCTTGTATTATTTAACGGTATCTTGATATTTCTATACGGATTATTGTAAAGATAATTCTATAGTTTGGTTTTCTTGTATTACATTCATCAATTTAAAAAGTAGTTAAATTAAAGAAGTTTGCAATTTTTTTCATAATTCTTGAGGTAGATTTAAATAGTTGTAATTTAATTTAATTCTATTCATTTCTTTTATATATATCAATGAAATCATCTAATAAATCTCTATTAATATCGAATTAGTTATTTAAAATATCTTTGTAATTTTTGATCATTACCATTTTAGAATTTATCCATTAATAATGAATTGAAGACCATTTACTTTTGCTTTTACATTCACACGCATTGCAATCTCTCAATAAGACGTATTAATCCCTTTGCTACATTAATAATCTATTCTTTATCTTATTAAGAACTAACAATAGCTGTAGGCATCTTGAGGAATATGTCATCAATAAAAAGTTATATAACTGATAAAGAGTCCAATCTAGCATCTTTTTTCTAATAAAGTTTTCATCCAAAAACATAACATCTTAATTTATCTAATCATCAAAATTAGTTGACTTTATTATCATTTTCTCGACAATAGATATAATTTATTATAATTCTGCTTGTAAACTAGTTGGAGTTACAGTTGACTTAGTATCAGCATGTGGAATTGTGAAATAAAAAGTTTTTTTTGGAATTCTTAAAACAACTTTCTGAACTATCATTCAATAATCTAATTGAATTATTGAAATTTGCTTGATTGATAAACTAATGATTGATCATCAATATTATCAGCATCCTAAAGGTTTTGATTTTTGTATATAACTCTTAAGGCAAATAAAGAAATTTTTCATTTAAAATTATATTAATTTATTATTTTGTTGGAAAAATTAAGAAAACTCTTTGTTACCTTCATCTGTTTCTCAATATTTAAGTATGATTTTGGAATTTATTGCTTATAATTAAAAGAATGCCATCAGTTTATGGAAAATACCCTTCCAAAATATTTGAACTTTAATAAATACTCAAATTAATGTATAACCAGATTTACTATTCAAGAATCAATTAAATCTGAATTAAAAAAAAATACCTCAATTAGTGTGTAAACAGAGTTGCACCAGAAATATCACAAATTGAATTATCTTTAAAGGTCTCAATGCTTCAACATTTTATTCACTCAAACTCTCTAAACAAGTAGGAGGTTAATTTAGAATTAATTATATCCTCTTAACTGGATATAATTTCATCTGTAAACTAAGCCAAAAATTTCAAATTTATTTATTTTCCTTTTGTAAATTCTTTAAAATAATAAAATATTTGTAATTATTATTAAAAGTATCCAGATTGTAATATCTTAATGAGTTCAAAATTATAAATGTTAGCTATTTGATATTCTAAAAGATGCTATCTATCTTAAAAAGGAATAGTAATAACGAATTCCAAAGTTTTATAATTATTGACTGTTCTTATTAAATACCCTTTACTATAAGTAACATTTAATAATTTAAAATCATTATCTAGATTGACAATATTTTATTTAAATTTATAAGTAAATTGAATTTTTGAGGCCACTACTGTCCAACTTTAAATAGTATAAGGCTGTGTTGTATTTTTTATTTTGGAATTTATTGGATTCTAATTGTTTTATTGGCTTTGATTATTTTATTATTTAAATCCATACAAAATCAATTTATAGTCAAGTCGACACTATCAGCATTAATTTATATGCCTGAATCCCAATTCCAATCATATAAAGTATCTAAACCTCTACATCATAATTATATATATGTTTCTTTACTATAACTCAAAATCTTTTTTTTGTCCCATAGAATTAACAAAATTTACCTCCAGGGCCTATTTGAAGTGTAATATTTCTTTATTAGAAGGTATATGCAATTCTGGAAGTTAATATTTAATTTTAGATTGCAACATTAAAGAAACTTTGGCGTGCGATTTCCTTATAATTTTCTCTTGAAGGCCTTGAATTAGAATTGTTTCTATATTTAATCAAAATTATCAATTTCAGTAATTAGAGATTTAGAACAATTTTTTTTTTAATTTAGAATTTCGAAACAATAGTTTCAAAAGCAAAATAATAAGGTTTCGAAATCCAAAGTATAGTGGGAAATTTTTGAATTAGTTTACAATTTAATCATTTATATAGTCTCTGAACCTAAAAAATTTTGAGACTCTATAAAGAGTGTGATATTGGACTGTTTTGTTAGACTTTGGTAGGGAATAACTAATTCTAACATTTATAAATTTGTTAATGAAAAAAGAAAAATTTTCAAGATCCCCATTTCCATTGAATCCATGTAAAGTATGATTTTATCCCCCCTTGAATAAACTTAACTTTTAATCTTACTTTTATGATTAATTTTTTATAGAATATAAAATTATTTCTAACTTTATCATCATCTGGATCCACATAACAAATAGGATTTTTGCCAATTAATAAGTATTTTTGATTACCTAGTATTTTTTAGCAGATATTATCTTAAAATTAAGTAGTAAAGAATGATGGATTCAATGAAAAGTCAAACTTTACAGAAACAGATAGTAAGTCATCTGAGAACCTAGCATCTACTACAGCAACTTCAAAAGCTTTGTTATTAATTGAAAATATTAATACTTGAACACCAGGAGGTATTAGAATGGCTCACAGAATTTTTTGGTTAATCACATGACATTTCAGGAGATAGGATTCTATTGCCATTACAACTGAGAAAACCATCTAGATTACATGTTTTACATAATCCATAACAAACTTAACAAGATTCATTTGATAGATCATCATAAAATCAATCAGGATATTAAAATTTAGGGATTTAAATACGATCTCCTTTAGACAATTTAATGAGCAATCTTTGCATGTTGTACATTAAAAGTTGCATTCTTAATTTTTTTAATAATTAATATACAAACACAGAGAGGCTATCCTCCTTCATAATGCCCATCTTAACATAAACAAAGTTGAGTGGATCTTCCTTTTTACATGATAAAAAATTTGAAGAGGCCTTTTCACAAGTTAGACATAAATTTCACATGCTAAAATAATATTGATTTGATTAAGTCCACAATTTTAAAAAGATTTTTCAAAAGATCCAAGTATGCAATTACGAATAGGAAGTGTATCTCTCAGATTGCAAAAACAAGTTAAACAATTAATTGAAAAATTTTAACAAAATTTACAACGTGTACAGCATTTTTAACAATCCACCTAAATGCCATCATAAAAATAACCATCTTTCCAAATACAATTCTGAGATATGCTACGTCAATTAGAAGTTTGGAATAAGAACAGATCGGCATTTCTATTATGTATAAAATTAATACTTTAACAATTTTCATTTTCATCTGAATAGAAACCAGTTGAACAAGGATATTTATTAAGAATAGATTAATCAATTCTATTTTAATTATGATCACAATATATGCAATAATCTCTTATCCCTTCACACGTAAGACCTTAATTGGAACATTCTATAAAATTAATTATAATTGTACGCTTTCACAAATTAATGAATTATTATTATAATATCTATGTTAGCAAATACATTGATTTTTATTTAATAATCTGAAATATTGTGTTTAGTTAAATGAAGCAAATTTTGTTGAAGTTATTTAACAAGTCTTGCAATATAAACTAAAATAAATTGCATTTTTAATACATCTCAATCCCAATATCATAATAACCATCTAAACAAATACATTAATTAGAATTATTTAAAATTCTAAAATAAGTTGATTTTAATGATAAATATCTTGTAGATTAATTGATACATATCTTAAAATTTAATTTTGCATGGACACTTCAAATTATCTGAGATCAAAATATCTAGTAAGATTTTCACACTCTATACATTTTGTCTACGTTTTACATTCTTTACATGAAGATTACCAGCTAAATTATTATAATTATAACTTTACATTTTAAAGTAGATTTATTAAAATAGAAAGCTATTTAACAAACACATCTATTCGAGACATCCAAGCTAAGATTCAAGCTTCTAGTTGAAATGCCACATAGTGAGAAAAATTATTATCTAATTATATGATTTATTCAAAATTTTCTTGTTCCAAATCTAAAGAATATTATTATCTGGTTAATCATTATTTAGATTGCCCTTTAATAAACTTCCTTCTAACAATTTAATTGCTTAACCAAAAAGAAATACAAAGTATAAAGCTCATCCCCAACCGTTGTAACAGAAAAATAATCTTTTTTTCCTCTTACAAATAGGTTAGGTTAAAATGTACAAGAAAATCAACTTACTTTAGAAAATACTACTTAAAAGAATTTTTTTTGTAATATTAGTAAAAAATATAAAAAATTGATAATAACTTATTAATGAAATGAAAAATTTTGAAAAAAACCATGGGCCTTTAATCATCATCATACCAAAAAGTATTAAATATTGTGTAAAATATTAGTTTTTATCTTAATATGAATTTTTGATAATTAAAAACTTCAAGTTAATAAAATTAAATTATTTACTTGTCTTAAATCTATCTGCTTTTTTATTAATTATTAGCTACAGGTTATAAACCAAACAAAATTGAAAAATTTGATACATTTATTATATAATCTGGTTTTTTAGATTTCAATATATTTAGCTGCTATTAATTCTCTAAGTGAATAAAAGACTAATCAAACATCATGAACTAAATTATAAATCATGATAACCCTACTTTGCGTTATTTATTTTTTCCATTTCTCTCTAAAAAGTTTTTAAAAATTATCTAAATAACTAAAAGTTCCTTTTAATGATTGAAATTCATGAATTCTTAAATTTCATTTTCAAAAGGCTCAAAATTTCATTAATAATATAAAAAAAAAGATATAAAACAAAATATAAGTAAATCAAAATAGTAATCTTCAAAGTAATAAAAGCTGATAGTGAATATTGATAAATTGTATTGATATTTTTTCTTAATTTCTAAAAATAAAAGTAATCATATTTAAAGATCCTTGCATTCATTTTGAACTTCTAAAATCTAAAAAGAAAGATGATTTCTTAAAATGATATTTCACTAGAGACATTTAACTATTTATGTAAAAGAGATATTTTTTTTCTGCTTAATTAAAACACTAAATTAATTATTACATATATGTAGATTTATAATTTAACATCAGAATTTAAAAGTTACTGATTAAGTTAATTATCATCTTCCATAAATTTGATAAGAGTTAATAATAATTTATCTTCCTTGTTTAAAAAAAGTAAGAAATAAATTTTAAACTTCTTGTTTGTTTATAGAAAAATTCGATTTCAACTAATTTTCTTAATTTAAAATATACAATATTATTTAAAGAATGTCATCAATTTTTAAAAAGTATTTTTTATATGTTGGTTGATTTTTCAAAATTAATTTTTTAATTACCAACCATCTTTAAAATATTTTGAACACAATTTACAATCTCTATCAGAAGAGTCATACTAAGTTTTGACCATATTTATAAAATATGGAAAAAATATTACCATATTAACCAAAATGACTTAATTACCTATATCTAAAGGGTCATACTAAGTTTTTGACTAAGATATAAAATTTTCAATATTCCAATTATCATACAGTAATCCAAAGATTGTACAATTAGAAGATCACTTATAAAAATATGAGGTTTACATTATTCAAAATAACAACGAAAAAGGAGACAATTTTTCAAAAAGTTTTTTTTACTTATAACCTAAGGAATTTAGGGTTGCGACTGGTGTTGTAACAATGATTCATTGGGTGTAGCCAAACCAACATACAACCAGAGGTAATAATAGAGAGAAAAAAATTCTTGATAATAGTAAAACCTACAATTAACATTAATATGACTAATAATCTGAAATTGTATTACTCAATGTAAGCCCTTTTCCTTACAATTATATATCCAATAATCATAATTAAAATAATATATGATATATACTAGAACTCAAATTATGTATAAATTAAAATATTCATATAAAAATAAAGATATTCTATTTTTAGTAAAAAGGCAAGCTATGCAAATGTTGAAATGAATTCTAAAAGCATATTTTACCTTAATGATAATCCATTTCATATCTAAACAATGCTTCTATTTTACAAAAATACATAAGATAATTTTAACTATTTTGCAGTGTATAACTTATACTTTGAGTAATAGAAATTCAATATTAAAAATAAAAAAGAGAATGCAGGGCACTTTATAAGAGAATGAAGCTATAACTGACATATTTAGTTAAATTAAGGATGTAGATGAACAACTCTTTGATGTCGTTTTAGAAATGCTTATAAAGAAGAAGGTTTAAGATTGCATTGGATATCTTTCTAAAGATGAAAATCAAAAACATATATAATCATAAATCTAACAACAACAAGAGAATAAAACCCAAGTTGACAAAGAATAGAAATTGTCTGTTATTGTAAATAACATGAAATAAATTACAGATGTCTTAAAAAAATTAAAAGATCATGACTTTAATTCCAAAGATTTTTCCTCTAAAGAAAAATATGGATCTACATTAAGTCTAATTAATAACATCTAGGGTAATAGCTAGATCATCAAATTTTTGTAATTTTTAGTTCACCTTACATCCTTAGATACAACTTTAATATAATGTGGGTCTAATTCATTACATATTTTAGTGTAGTTGAAAGTGAACCTTAGAAATACAAATTTTGAAAATATTAAGATCTTAAACACTTCTTTAGTAGGAGCGAACTTTGTAAAATGCAATTTAAGCGGATCAAAGTTAGATAATGTAGATATCAGTGGATTAAATTTGAATGGTGCTTAATTATTCAATTGCAATTGGAAGAACATAAAAATAAATGAATTGAATAAATTGGATGGACACAGCGGCAGTGTGAATTCAGTATGTTTCTCTCTTGATGGAACTAAATTAGCATCTGGTAGTGAAGATAAATCTATCGTTCTTTGGGATGTCAAAACAGGATAATAAAAAGCCAAATTAGAAGGTCATACTCATAATGTTTTGTCAGTCTGTTTCTCTCCTGATGGAAATACATTAGCATCTGGTAGTGAAGATAAGTCTATTATTCTTTGGAATGTAAAAACAGGATAATAAAAAGCCAAATTAGAAGGTCATAGAGATTGGGTTAGATCTGTTTGTTTCTCTCCTAATGGAAATACATTAGCATCTGGTAGTGAAGATAAGTCTATCTGCCTTTGGGATGTCACAACAGGATAGTAAAAAGCCAAATTAGATGGTCATAGTGATTAGGTTAGATCAGTCTGTTTCTCTCCGGATGGAACTAAATTAGCATCCGGTAGTGAAGATAAGTCTATTATTCTTTGGAATGTAAAAACAAGATAATAAAAAGCTAAATTAGAAGGTCATAGTGATTGGGTTAGATCAATTTGTTTCTCTCCTAATGGAAATACATTAGCATCTGGTAGTTAGGATAACACTATTCGTCTTTGGGATGTCAACACAGGATAATAAAAAGCCAAATTAGATGGTCATGGTAATTATGTTAGATCAGTTTGTTTCTCTCCTGATGGAAATACATTAGCATCTGGTAGTGAAGATAAGTCTATCTACCTTTGGGATGTGACAACAGGATAGTAAAAAGCCAAATTAGATGGTCATAGTGATTATGTTAGATCAGTCTGTTTCTCTACGGATGGAACTACTTTAGCATCTGGTGGTTAGGATAATTCTATCCGTCTTTGGGATGTCAAAATAGAATAATAATAAATAAAATTAGATGGTCATAGTAAATATATCAACTCAGTTTGTTTCTCAGCTGATGGAAAGACATTAGCATCCGGTAGTGAAGATAAGTCTATTCGTCTTTGGGATGTTACCACAGGATAATAAAAAGTCAAATTAGATGGTCATAAAGGATATGTCTATTCAGTTTGTTTCTCACCTGATGGAAATACATTAGCATCTGGTAGTTAGGATAACTCAATTCGTCTTTGGGATGTCAACACAGGATAGTAAAAAGCCAAATTAGATGGTCATAGCGATTATGTTAGATCAGTCTGTTTCTCTCCGGATGGAAATACACTAGCATCTGGTAGTTATGATAACTCTATCCGTCTTTGGGATGTCAAAATAGGATAATAAAAAAGTAAATTAGATGGTCATAGCGATTATGTCTACACTATTTGTTTCTCAGCTGATGGAAAGACATTAGCATCTGGTAGTGAAGATAAGTCTATTCGTCTTTGGGATGTTACCACAGGATAATAAAAAGTCAAATTAGATGGTCATAGAGGATATGTCTATTCAGTTTGTTTCTCACCTGATGGAAACACATTAGCATCTGGTAGTGAAGATAAGTCAATCCGTTTTTGGGATGTCAAAAAAGAATAATAAAAAACCAAATTAGATGGTCATAGTGGAACTGTCTACTCAGTCTGTTTTTCACCTGATGGAAGTAAATTAGCATCTGGTAGTGAAGATAAGTCTATTCGTCTTTGGGATGTCAACACAGGATAATAAAAAGCCAAATTAGATGGTCATAGTGATTATGTTTTATCAGTTTGTTATTCACCTGATGGAATTACATTAGCATCTGGTAGTGAAGATAAGTCTATTCGTCTTTGGGATGTTAAAACAGGATAATACAAAGCCAGATTAGATGGTCATAGTGGAACTGTCTACTCAGTTTGTTTGTCACCTGATGGAAGTATATTAGCATCTGCTAGTAAAGATAAGTCTATACGCCTTTGGGATGTCAAAAATGAATAATAAAAAACAAAATTAGATGGTCATAGTGGATATGTTTACTCAGTCTGTTTCTCACCTGATGGAAATACATTAGCATCTGGTAGTGAAGATAAATCTATCCGCCTTTGGGATGTCAAAAAAGAATAATAAAAAGCCAAATTAGATAGTCATAGTGGAACTGTCTACTCAGTCTGTTTCTCACCTGATGGAAATACATTAGCATCTGGTAGTTACGATAACTCTATCCTTCTTTGGGATGTCAAAAAAGTAAAATAAAAAGCCAAATTAGATGGTCATAGTGGATATGTTTACTCAGTCTGTTTCTCACCTGATGGAAATACATTAGCATCTGGTAGTTAGGATAAATCTATCCGTCTTTGGGATGTCAAAAAAGTATAATAAAAAGCCAAATTTGATGGTCTAAGTGGAAATGTTTACTCAATCCGTTTCTCTCCTGATGGAAATAAATTAGCTTTTGGTAATGAAGATAAGTCTATCCACCTTTGGGATGCCAAAACAGGATAATTAAAAGCAAAATTAGATGGTCATAGTGGATATATTTACTCAATCTGTTTCTCACCTGATGGAAATACATTAGCATCTGGTAGTGAAGATAAGTCTATCCGTCTTTGGGATGTTAAAACAGGAGAATTAAAATCTAAATTGGATGGGCATAGTGATAGAGTTTGGTCAGTCTGTTACTCTTTTGATGGAAATATATTAGCATCTAGTAGTGGTGATCAGTCGATCCATCTATGGGATGTTAAAAATGAAAAATAAATTTCATCCACTGACAAAAATTATAGAAATATCAATACGTAATTAAAAGCCCTAATTTTTTAAAACAATCCTATACCAGGTATTTATTATTTAATTATTATTTAGGCTCTTATTATTCAATTCTTGTTATATCTCAAGAAATTATATTGGAAGCCTAAGGAACACAGATCTTGTAAGGAGAATTTATTAATCATTAAGAGAAAGATTTAAAACCTTTGTTCAAATCAAAAGGAAGTTGCTTTTTAGAAGATTTAAAGAAAAGGTGAATTTTTTGACTATCAACAACAATACAATTATAAATATAATCAAATTCTAATATTTTTTAATTATGTCTTTATTTACAACTTTTTATCTTAATTCTTAAGTTATTTCAGTACATGTTTTTTTCAAAAGTTGATTTCATTTTAGTTGAATGTAGGGAATATTTATTGAGATGTTATATAATCTCATATCAATTTATATTTATAGAGATTTAAACTTAATTGAAACTTCATAAAATAAATACTCTACTTCTCTTTTAAAGGACAAAACTGAGAGCATTAAGAGGCTGTTTTAAGAAAATTTAAATTAACACAACTCCATTCTTTTTAAATCATATAGGATATTATACGATAGATTTACTTAATTTATGATTATTTATATGATTATAAATAGTGAAAGATATATTTCATAAAAAAGATAACAATAAAAAGATATGTCAAGAATAAAAAAAATAAAGATAATCCTAGATTATTTAAGTAAATAATTTAAACTATAAAAAGGTTGAAACAATTAGATTTAATAATTATAAAAACTCTTTTATTAAAACCTTTTATTATTTATTAAATAGATATTTAAAGTATTTCTGAATATAAATTAAAGATATAGTAATCATTAATAAGTATTATATCCCCTAAAGGATAGAGATTTAAGGAGATATTTATATCTTACCTAACATCCATCTCATAATCTTAAATACTGATTAACTTAAGCTTTATGTGAATTCTTAGATACATCCAAAGTGGCAACTTTCAACAATTCATTAAATTTCTATAAATATTTAAAGTATTGTTGATCACTGATTTAATGTAAAAATGCTTTTAAAGAGTTAGAACTATATAACCACTTTTACCTTCAAGACGATTTTCACGAAAATACCTCTTAACACATCTTAACTCTTTAAAAACTCATCAAATAGTTAAATTTTACAATAAAATTAATAAACTAAGAAATTACCCTAAATTAATTTTAAATATTTCAAAAGTGATGAAATTGAAGTAAAAGAAGAATAAAAGTAAACCATACATATCCAGAATGGATAATCTTAAAATAATAAAATTTTTCATCTTTATAAAAATGAGATTCACCCCCTAAGATTAATAGGATGATAAATTTATAGAACTAACTAAAAAATAAAAAATATGAAATTAATGATACTTATTATTGGGTAAAAGTCAATATATGTGTATTTTATCTTAATTACAAAATATAAAATTTTTCAATAATTATTTTATGAATTAAGGTTAAAAAGTTTAATTGAAAAAAATGATGATTTTATGTTAAANTAAATATAATCAAATTCTAATATTTTTTAATTATGTCTTTATTTACAACTTTTTATCTTAATTCTTAAGTTATTTCAGTACATGTTTTTTTCAAAAGTTGATTTCATTTTAGTTGAATGTAGGGAATATTTATTGAGATGTTATATAATCTCATATCAATTTATATTTATAGAGATTTAAACTTAATTGAAACTTCATAAAATAAATACTCTACTTCTCTTTTAAAGGACAAAACTGAGAGCATTAAGAGGCTGTTTTAAGAAAATTTAAATTAACACAACTCCATTCTTTTTAAATCATATAGGATATTATACGATAGATTTACTTAATTTATGATTATTTATATGATTATAAATAGTGAAAGATATATTTCATAAAAAAGATAACAATAAAAAGATATGTCAAGAATAAAAAAAATAAAGATAATCCTAGATTATTTAAGTAAATAATTTAAACTATAAAAAGGTTGAAACAATTAGATTTAATAATTATAAAAACTCTTTTATTAAAACCTTTTATTATTTATTAAATAGATATTTAAAGTATTTCTGAATATAAATTAAAGATATAGTAATCATTAATAAGTATTATATCCCCTAAAGGATAGAGATTTAAGGAGATATTTATATCTTACCTAACATCCATCTCATAATCTTAAATACTGATTAACTTAAGCTTTATGTGAATTCTTAGATACATCCAAAGTGGCAACTTTCAACAATTCATTAAATTTCTATAAATATTTAAAGTATTGTTGATCACTGATTTAATGTAAAAATGCTTTTAAAGAGTTAGAACTATATAACCACTTTTACCTTCAAGACGATTTTCACGAAAATACCTCTTAACACATCTTAACTCTTTAAAAACTCATCAAATAGTTAAATTTTACAATAAAATTAATAAACTAAGAAATTACCCTAAATTAATTTTAAATATTTCAAAAGTGATGAAATTGAAGTAAAAGAAGAATAAAAGTAAACCATACATATCCAGAATGGATAATCTTAAAATAATAAAATTTTTCATCTTTATAAAAATGAGATTCACCCCCTAAGATTAATAGGATGATAAATTTATAGAACTAACTAAAAAATAAAAAATATGAAATTAATGATACTTATTATTGGGTAAAAGTCAATATATGTGTATTTTATCTTAATTACAAAATATAAAATTTTTCAATAATTATTTTATGAATTAAGGTTAAAAAGTTTAATTGAAAAAAATGATGATTTTATGTTAAAAGGGTTGTTTATTAAATGGAGATCTTGCATTTTTCCAATATGTTGTTATATATATTTTATGAGGATTTTATTTTTTATCCTGTTTTGACATCCCTTAGACGAATAAAGTTATCTTCACTAACAGAAGCTAATGAATTTCCTCAGCAAAATTACAAACTTAATTGAGAGTTTAACAATGGCCATCCAATTTTTATCAATTTAGCTTCATTTAAATTGATTCCATAAAAATTCACATTATCAAATTCAGATCTTGATAAATTGCTTTTTGCCAAATTTGATTCATATAAAGAAGTATTTTTAATTTTGAAATAAATAAATTTTTTTTGTAAGATCAATTTTCATTTCAACCAAAAATGATTTAGATCCATCGATAAATTTTGATATGTCTAAATAATTTACACATTAGAGATAGTTTTTAAATGAGATATTTGTGCCTGTATTATTGACAATTTTGATCAAATCAGCAATTGAATAATATTATTGCCTCTCAAACACTGATATACAATAATCCTTATTATCAAGATTACACTTAATTTTTTTCATTTATGCTCATTTTTCTTGTAAGGTTTGTTGGGTATTTTTTTTTCATCATGTAGATAACAATCAAATATTTACAGATTTTTCCTAATTGTCTCTGCTTTTCTATTAATAAAAAAGAATTAATTGATTAGTTAAAGAATTAAATGGATAACTTAATTTAATTAAGTTAAAGTTCATTAAAAGAAATTGATTAATTATATTAAGGATCGTTGAAATTATTAATGAGAGTTCCAAAAACTACTACAGATTAACTTTTAAATCTTCTTGTTAAGCCTCTCGTACTATTGTATAATGAAGAGGTAGCATAAATAACGAGAAAGATTCAGGATAGACACAATTTATGGTAAGAATGTTTTATATAATATGAAATGGTAAACATTAGTAATTTTAAAGGAAAATTAAGTAATATACCAAAAAATAAGAATAACTATGAAATATAGGAGGATATATTTGGAAATAACATCAATAAAGAGCAACATATAAACACTTAGTAATTAGTCATTATAAATAGAATTTAAATACATTCAATAAAAAAATTAATAACTGTAAAAATGGTGTAAATGTGAAAATATTGAATAGAATAATTAAAAGACTACAATTAATATGAAAAGATTATATGTTTTAAATAATTTATGTTTTCTCTTCTCCCTAACAGATAGTAAAAATTCNTAAAAGGGTTGTTTATTAAATGGAGATCTTGCATTTTTCCAATATGTTGTTATATATATTTTATGAGGATTTTATTTTTTATCCTGTTTTGACATCCCTTAGACGAATAAAGTTATCTTCACTAACAGAAGCTAATGAATTTCCTCAGCAAAATTACAAACTTAATTGAGAGTTTAACAATGGCCATCCAATTTTTATCAATTTAGCTTCATTTAAATTGATTCCATAAAAATTCACATTATCAAATTCAGATCTTGATAAATTGCTTTTTGCCAAATTTGATTCATATAAAGAAGTATTTTTAATTTTGAAATAAATAAATTTTTTTTGTAAGATCAATTTTCATTTCAACCAAAAATGATTTAGATCCATCGATAAATTTTGATATGTCTAAATAATTTACACATTAGAGATAGTTTTTAAATGAGATATTTGTGCCTGTATTATTGACAATTTTGATCAAATCAGCAATTGAATAATATTATTGCCTCTCAAACACTGATATACAATAATCCTTATTATCAAGATTACACTTAATTTTTTTCATTTATGCTCATTTTTCTTGTAAGGTTTGTTGGGTATTTTTTTTTCATCATGTAGATAACAATCAAATATTTACAGATTTTTCCTAATTGTCTCTGCTTTTCTATTAATAAAAAAGAATTAATTGATTAGTTAAAGAATTAAATGGATAACTTAATTTAATTAAGTTAAAGTTCATTAAAAGAAATTGATTAATTATATTAAGGATCGTTGAAATTATTAATGAGAGTTCCAAAAACTACTACAGATTAACTTTTAAATCTTCTTGTTAAGCCTCTCGTACTATTGTATAATGAAGAGGTAGCATAAATAACGAGAAAGATTCAGGATAGACACAATTTATGGTAAGAATGTTTTATATAATATGAAATGGTAAACATTAGTAATTTTAAAGGAAAATTAAGTAATATACCAAAAAATAAGAATAACTATGAAATATAGGAGGATATATTTGGAAATAACATCAATAAAGAGCAACATATAAACACTTAGTAATTAGTCATTATAAATAGAATTTAAATACATTCAATAAAAAAATTAATAACTGTAAAAATGGTGTAAATGTGAAAATATTGAATAGAATAATTAAAAGACTACAATTAATATGAAAAGATTATATGTTTTAAATAATTTATGTTTTCTCTTCTCCCTAACAGATAGTAAAAATTCACTTGACTTAATCTTTGGAATCATTTCAAATGTAAAATTTTCTAATTAACTAAAAATTTTTTTTTTTAATCCTAAAGAGCTGTGTTAATTTTGGTTTTGAAACAAATTGAAATAATATGGTAGAAAAACTCAGTAAATTTTACAAGTTTGTTGCAATTACAAGATGTTATTAGATGGGTATAATGATTATTTTTTTAATGAACAAAAATTTGCTCTAGTGAAATTCACATTAGCCTAAGAGATTAAGGGAAATATTTAGATTATTAAAACAAAGAACTCAGTTATAAAAAAAAAAACTAAAATTATTCCTTTTTAGTTGAAAAAACAAGCACATAAATTATAGTTATTACTTATAATTAGATATAACAAAATTTTTTTGAGTTTAACTAAAATCATTTATTATTTAAAATTTTTTATCTTCATTCTAGTATGGCGCTAATTTTTTTTTATTGATAAATTTGAATCTAAGATTTACTTGAAGAACTTTTTGAAAGTTGTTAGAAAATTCTTTAAAAATTTTATTTCAAATTAGTCATCTCAGTTACTTTAACCATCATTTTCGGCAACACTCAAACTACTGTTTCAATCATATATGAGTTTCCACCAATTAAGTTAAATTTTGCTAATTATTTATATTAGGAGTACTTCAAAATTAGTTGATAATGGGATCTTCTTTGAAACTTTCAGAATACTAAAAGGTCTTTTAGTGATTGATAATAGTTATTCTAGTCATTTTCAATCCTTTTAAATTTAATAATAATTTTTTGGCTTTAAAATTGATGTCAAATTCTTTTAATTATCTTATTTGTATGAACATGCATAGAAAGAAAATTTTAATGCTATATTACTTATTGTATTGCAATCATCTTAATGATTTTAAGGATGATAGTTAATTTAATAATTAATCAATTATGAACAAAATTGAATTGAAGAGAACCTTAAATTTATGTCTACACTTTTGATATTCAAGGATTATGAGCAGCAATAGGAGGAAAATATATTATTGAATACTAAAGGTATGTATTTTAGCTATTTTTGGATGAAAAGTTACTAGTAAAAATGATTAATTATCCATTTTTTCACAGACATATCAATAATTAATTGCTAATGATCAGATTATATTTTTCTAATTTATTTTATAAAATTCAATTCATTATGATTGTTAATTTATAAAGTTAACTTGTCAGCAATTTCCAGCTATCAAATTTTTTATCTGTCTTATTAGATTAGTTGATTAAATTATAAAAAGTTGAGATCAACTGAACAATTTATACATTCAAAAAGTTAACCCTTATAAAAATCTTGTTTGTTAATTTCATGTTCAAGATTAGAAATTTAATGTGTTATTTACAATTCAAAAAATTTGAAGTAAAATCAAAATATATTACAATAGTTAACTGTTCTAAGTTGGGAAAATTGACATAATACGTAAGATCTCAAGATAAATTACAATATTTATCTTGCAGGTTTGATAAAAAATGATTAACAAATATTAAATAGTAAATTTACTATTAATAAAATAATAGAATACTATAGATTAATTTAATGATTCATATTTAATAAAATATTAATTTTCAAAAATCCCTATATTTTCCATAATTAAAGAGAACCCTTGTAAAGATGCTATCAGCTGTCATTCCTTAATGAGAATTTTTGGCAACAATATTTTTTGCCTCAAAAGAACCTTTATTTTTGAGTATCTGGAAACAATTTTTACAATAATCAATATACCCCTAAATAATTTGATGTTTAAATTACATCCTTTTTGTAATTTCCTGGTCGTGCATTCACTGCTATATATCTAGGTCCTTCAGAACTAATAACACACCCATCACAAACGAAATCATGTTTTTGGGATGCTTTCTGCCCTTTTTAAAGTTATCTATTTTTTCCAATTTTATGTGAATCAATGTCATGTAAGACTGATTCATCATGAAGCGGTCCATTAATAAAGATTAATGTATCTTGATATTTATACATATACATCCCATTTTGGGATAGATCAGTAAATTCTGCACATTCAACACAAACATGTTCTTTCTTAAAATAGCAGTAATATTATTTAGGTTCTTTTGAAATATCTTTTGAGCAAACTACACATTTATTTCCTGGATATTGAATTGAGACAGTTTATTGGATTTATTTTCTTATAATCCAACGATCCTCGGGGATGATTGAAAATATTTTATCTAAAAGTTAATTAAATTCTTCCTCTTGCTTATCCCTAATGAAGTAATTCAAATAGATATTTTAATAGGCATTTTTAGCTTTTTCATCTTATTAGACTTCAAAATCCAGCCTAAACTCTATAACCCTTTTTTAATCAATTGATAATAGTTAAGTTTTGAAATTATTAGATGATATAATCCTCTTGATCAAATCTACGCTTTGTTGTTGGATTGGCGTTTTAAGATTTTTCTAATATGTATCTCTTTCGTTTTCCTTTACTAATTATTAGATTGACCTTTCTAAATTGATTGGGCTTTATATATATCTAATAAATCCAAATTTATCTACAAGAATGAAATAAGGAACCTATGTAATTGCATACAAAGATGTATCAGTTAGATGTGCTCTTTCCTTATTATAGATTTATAAACGGCTCTAAAGTTCTTTGTTTTATTCTAAAAATGATATATATTCTTTTTCATTTCCAATATTCAGAGCTACAAATTTAACTATTTTGCTCCAAGATTCATTATTTTTTATAATTAGTTCATCAATATTTCTCAGTTAAACTATACAATTCTTATTGCATTACCAATAGAAAATAATTAATACTTACCCTTTAATATGAGAAATTTTTTCTTTTTTTGAAGATCCAAAATTTTTGTAATTTAGAATAGGGGCAAATTTTTTTCCACGACCAAGAGTTGTGTTAGACTGTAATTTTTCAATTACTTCATTAATCTCTTCACAATAATCAAAATTTTTTCTAAGTTCTTCTATAGATAATTTTGCTTTTTAAATTCCTTCATAAAAATTTTCAAGATTAAGTCCACTTGATTGAACTGTGTAGCCTTCACTATCATTTATTATCATTTCTTGTGAATTTGAATCCCAGATTAAAGATTTTTTCATTGTTTGTTAGTATTTTATCGAAACCCCATGTTTAGCAAAGGCAATAGAAATTATATTTTTAATAATATCACTTCTAGAATACAAATTTGAAACTTTTACAATTCGCAGATGCTCAGGTATTTTATTCCAAACTTACTCCATAAAATAATCTAACATTTCCATTTCTTGATAAGTAATTTAATATTCTAATTCAAGATCTGATATTTGTTCGATCACAAGACAACCATCAAATCTTAATCTTCTTTATCTCCTCAAAACAATTTAGAACTTCGATTGGAAATGTAAATTTTTTAGAACCTTTTGTATATCTAGAAGATATTATTTTAGCACTTTAAGTTGCACCTTTATCATGCTATTCGCATTCTATAATTTCGATTCCTTGCTTATTTGTTCAATATTTTAATTTTATTTTTCCTTCAAATCCTAATTTTTATCATCAACTGAGTTCTTGGAAAGTAAGGAAATATCACTTTTCAATTTTTCATAATTCTTATCTTCATTTGATTTATTTTACTAACTTATATTTAACACTCTATTATCATTTGATTATTTTTATCCTACCATATTTTATTCCTAGTTCTTAGCTTGAAGCTCATTGATTATCTTGTTATCCAAAAAAATTTCATCGTAGTTACTTTTTTTTAATTCTTCTAATTATGGAGCATCTTCATCTTTTCTTAACATTTCTTATGTTATTAAATCATCTAGAGCTACTTCATAGTGATATCCTGCATGAATTATTTTGCCATTTTTTCCAATTACCAAAGCAAATGGCAACCCTTCTATGTTTAGCATGTTTAGAAATTAATGATTGTTTTTTTTATTTTTTTTTAGCTTATAATGATCCAGATATTACCATTTCTTTAAAGTAACTAGTTCTATAATCTCTTCTGTAGTAGATTTCAATGAAATTGCTATAAGTTTTACTATACCGTGCCATTCAGTTTTCATTTGATGCAATTAAACTACTTCATCTATCGGTCCATTATACCCTAAAACAATAGTATCCTATTATGAATAAAATCCTATTACCCAAATATTTATTATATATATAAACTCTTTTTGTATCTATAGTGTTACTTTTTCTGGTTAAAAATTTAGATTGTTATTTGAAGATATGACTTGTTCTATATCTGAAATTTTCTTAATTTAATCGCCTATCTCATATTTTGGTTGAATTTCATCTAAGAATTAAGCCATGAGCTCAAATTCATTAGCATCTAAATCTTTTTTTGAATATTCCAATTTTTCTACAATAGATTGATACAACTCAGAGTCTGCTGCTTTTAATCGATTTCTACTTTTGTATGCTGTAATAATTTAGATTCTAACAACTAAAACAAGTAATTTACTAATCTTTTTCTTTCTAGGCAATATAATTAGTTATTTCTAAGATATTCAAATATGAAGGGAGTGATGCAATTAATTGTTAACCAAATTTGGATTTTTCTTTGTTTTTCATTATTTAATTAAAGAAGCTTGCAATAAAAAAAATTTAGATAAAAAAAACCTAATATGGGATGACAAAAAATAATATTTTAGAGTATTAAATGTTACGGACAATTTTTTTATTATATATAGAGGATTAATTTCTCATATATTTTACAGGAATCATATAATATTATTTTTGAATAAATTGTAAAACTAATATTATTGTTTGAGCATGATTTTATAAATTATTGTTAAAAGTTGCTTAGTGAGTAATTTTAATAATCTAGATTGTAATAATTAAATCAATAGTTTATTATAGATTAAAGAAAACTATTAGCTTATTTTAAAATAACTACATTTGATAAAATTAATGTTAAAAATAAAATTCAACATTTTTTGACTTCATAATCTTTTTTATATAGACTACAATTAATTTTTAGAATGCGAAGAGGCATTTCAAGGTGAATAAAAGTCAAAAACAACCCAAGCGTAAATTAAATGTTCAGCCATTGAGAAAATTAAGAAATGAATAATTTTTTTTCTAATGAATACATTGTTTCTTTCAAATAAGATTTTTGAATAATCTCAATATTAGTCATTTAATGCTAATTATCAAAATTATTGCAAGAAAAAAACTGTTAATATATCACTAAAGACAAGCTTTTTTTAGGCCTGATTAAAATCAAAAAATTTAATTGCCCCTAATCTACTTATACTTATATTTTTCAAAATGATGGATTTTAGAAATTCAATATAAATAAGAATTGTTTTACACCAAACAAAAGTTTATCACTTGTATTCTATTAGTTTCACAGTATTTTGCTACTTTTACTTAGTATTACAGTAAAAATTTCCTACTTGAAATTTGGATATTACTAAAGTATACTTCTAGAAGCAACATCAGTATTACAGTCAATTTTATATGATAAATCTAGAATAAATAATATGGCTATTCGATTTTTGAGATATTCATTATTAAATGTTAATGGTCGAATTATGTAAATAATATGGATAAATAACCATACGCAAAAAATTATTTAATTATTTATTATATTCATTAGTTTTTTATTAATAACAAGATTTCTAATAAGAGAAAGTTGGAAAATATCATTCATATTAAAAAATCACATTACCATCAAATTTAAAAAATTGCTCTCCATAATTAGGTAATAATCCTCAAAATATTGTTTTCAAGCGTTGATAGTGTTCAACAATTTTAATTTTAAGAATCAGAGTAAATAAAAATAATCTAAGGGGACAAACATTTTGGATAGAATTCCGGATAAACATGATAATTTTTTTATTGGAATTCAAAAAAATGTTACTAAAAAGTAATGGTTTTATTTAATAAAATGTCAAGATAGGAATACATTTAAAATTAGCTTATAAAATCTTGAAATAAATAATTCTATATTTAAGAGAATTATCTAAACATTTTAAAAAAAAATTATCCATGCTTTCCAAAAATGAAATAATTTAGTGCATAATTTTGATTGATTTTTTGATTTTCTGTTGAACATGAAAGAAATTTTTATTTTAATACATGATATTTTGAATAATTTAAGTTGGAAAATGCGTAAATTTTTGAATTTCTATTCTTAAAAATCTTTAAATACAATATAATGTTGAAAATACAATTTATATAATTTAATAATAATCTAAATGGTATCATAAATTGTCATAATATTATATTTTATATTCATCCATTATTTGACCTAAGTAAGTACATAACGAATCAGGATCATTGGAAAAATTGTTTAAGCTGTAATTTGTTATTAAATCATCTTAGATTTACAATTTCTATTAAAATCCAGCTTCAAGTATTGTTAATTTGATAAGAATTATATATAAATTGCAATTAAATTAATTTAATTTTTGATATTCATCCTAGTCTAATTCCTATTCTTAATAGTAAATACTTTATAATAACACTAAGATTTGTTTAAAAATTACTGCATTATTCCTTTAGAAATCTTTATTTAAATTACCTAATGTTATTTATTCTTTTATCTCTTTAAGTGAATCAATTTATTCCAAATATTTTCTCAGTTTATAAACTTGTTTACTTAAGTAAGAAGATTTCACATCTAAAACATTATGGAATTAAATTTTTTATAATGAATCATTGAGTTCTGTTTATAATTCATAATCAGAATAATTAGACTAAGAATTAACTTCCTCTTTCAACTAATTTACCATATCCTAACCTAATTTTGTAAAATATTGTAAATAACAATGAAATTCCCCTTCAAAAGAAAAATACCTTAAGATATCTGGAATATCTAAAATCAAATTATACAACCTTTCACAAATATTTTAGATCAACATAATAAAATTCTTTAATTACTTCCATTTTTCAAATTTTTATATAAGATTTGATTTTGGTTTTCCGATTTAAGATTTCTAATTTGAATTTCTAACTTGCATTTCTTCAAAATCATAATTCTAAATATTCCCTTAATTATTTGATACATTCTAGTTGTGTATTATAGATTTATTAATTTTTTCAAAAAAATTTTTTTGTAAGGAATTATTATTTTATTTTGAGTATTAAGATTGATCAAACTATGCATATGAGTATTTTTTCAATTTAGAAGAACCTTAACGGAGTTGATTATTATCCAATTATTTATTCCAGTCATAAAATTCTTAATTTTTAATGAGGGACGATTCCAAAAGTGATGGAATTATTTGTTAAGAATTGAAAATATATGGAGATTAATATAACTATGAAAATGTTAATCTTTCTTCAACTTAATATTTGAGCATTTTTTAAATAAAATTTCTTAGAATTTTATTTTCGATTATTTCAAAATTGGCATCTTATTACTTGATTAATTAAAATTAATCTTTTTAATGAAGTACATCATAATAAGGATACTCTCCAGTAATCATTTAATATAAACAAACTCCCAAACTATATATATCTGCTTCAAACGAATACGGTTTCCTTTCCAAAACTTCAGGAGCTAAAAGCATAAATTCAAAAATATACCCATATTAACCTCAGTTCCAGCGAAAGTTACAGTTTTTGTTTAATTTATAAACTATTTCGCTAATCCTAAATCAAGTAATTTGTAAGAAGCATTTTTAAAAATTGATTCATATAAATGTTCATTGGATGCTGTCAGTTTACATAAATCTTCTGGCTATATTACTACTCCTATATTTTCTAATTTTAAATCTCTGTGAATAATTTAATTTTTATGTAAATAATGTAATCCATTTACCAATTGTTTAAGAATAACAATTACAAGATCCTCGGGTAACTTATTTTTAAAAAATATTTTCATCATAGTTTTGACATCAAACTCGCAATACTAAAGCATAAATAATAATATTGACTTCCAAAACTAAAAACAAAGCAAATTGTGTTTCTTAAGCTTCATACAATTTGATAACGTTTTCATTATCACTCTTTTTTAATAATTCAACTTCATTCTTTAGATAAGGTATAATTAATGGCTTTACTTAAAATAAACTGACAACCTAAAATCAAGATATCTAAAACCTTAATAGCCACAGATTCTCCAAATATATTTTGACATTTGTAGACTTTTGAAAAGGCTCCTACACCTTTTTACTCAGGATTTCTATACCTATTTTCAAATTATTGTTCTATTGCTTCCTTATAACTAATTTACATAATGTTTCTAATAGAAATTTATTTAAAAATTATATTGATATTTTTATTCAATAGAATAATAAATATAACAGTAAATTGCTAGCACCTTATGTAATATTTATGCAAAGAATATGAAATTTTATAAATTTCAATTGTGATAAATTCGAGGAATCAAAATAAGTTAATAAAATTGACGATAATACAATAATAATTTAATAAAATGGCATGGTTAGGATTAAATTGTGAATAGGAGTAAATTAAATGAAATAAGGTGTTACAATGTGAAAATAAATACTTAAAAATAAATATTTAAGATAGCTAATATAATTAATGAATAAATTACAATAGTCGTTTTTATTATTTAAAATATATGAGAACAGGATTATTAATTTGCCTAATATTAGGAGTGTTGGGTGTTGAACTCAATATGGAGAGACATTCAGAGGAAGTTTTGGCCAAATTAAGAGAATCTAAATGGGCTTCTTTCATAGTTGACTTTGCAGAAGTGGAATTGGGAAGTGGAGGAGCCTTGACAGAATTGGTTGAAGCTATCAATTAATTGATCGATTAATTAGAGGAGGAATTAGATGACATTCATCAAGCCTACTCTAGAAGAACAGATGAACATAATAGAGATGTCACAAGATATGAATAAGAAATTTAAGATGCTGATAGAGGTTAATGTTTGTATCATATTATTAGACATTTTCAATGGAGAAGACTTCATTGACAACGTACTCATTCCATAAAAATAAAGATTCTAAGATGCTCTTGCTCAATTGAAAACCAACATTGAGGAAAACAGAAGAATTCTTGATTCAGAAACAGTCAATAGAAAGAAATAACACGAGTAATTCTTATCCAACATAGCTGAAATCAATGAAGCAATTGGTGCTGTTGATGAATCCTTAGGATTACTTTCTTAAATTACTAACCCCTCACTAGTTTAATTCAAAAGAGTTCAAACCAATTTAGGAAGAATCCAAAATTCATTCTAAAACCATTCTTCATTTGCCCCAATTATTAAGGCCTTACTTGAATTAGCAACAGAATAAAATTTTACTGATTAAGGATCAGTTTAATAATTGGTGAAGATCTTCAATGAATTGAGAGTTCAATTTGTTGATACTTTAAACCAAGAAACAGCTGATGAGAGTGCAGCCGAAACAAAATTTGCTGAAAGAGTAGCTTAATTAGAAAAGGAATTTGCTGAATTCTAAAGAGCTGTCCTCATCAAGAACTCTGAAATTGCTGCTAATGAATGTAAGTATTTAATTTGATTTTTTAGAAAAACTTGGAGAAACCATAGTCTATGTCGGATAAAGAAAAGATGACAGAGCCACACTTCAAGCCTAATTATAAGCTGAAAACGATAACTATGCTTCTGAAACCGATCTCTATAATAGAACTGTTACAGAATATAATAAGGAAATCGAGATCAGTAAATAGGCTCTTGGCTTATTAACTTAACCAAGCTTTGAATAATATGTCAAATCTAAAGTTGGAATTTGATCCATATTGACACATTCAAATAATATATTAACAATCAATTTTTTTGCATCATTATTACTTTTATTGATGACTTAAAAGCTATTATTATTATTAGTGTGTTTCGGCATTAGTTTTTTTCATCTCCTCAAATATATCAGGTCTTATTTAAACTGGCAAAGATGCCTCTAAACCTCCAAATAATTTATCATTTTCTTCTTCTTTCATAAAAATTGGCTACTGCTACTATTGAATTGAATGGATTAAACTCGGATTCATGTACAAAAAGCTCATCATTGGTGTCTCGAACTTGTGCATTCGATTTAATTCTGGATCCGATGAGGATTTTAAGGATTCCTTTAACCAATTTTGAAAATCTTAATACTGCTTTATAGCCTCCGGATATTAATTTACTCTATATGAATCTGATCTTATCGAATCTTAAAAAAATGAAAATGGATCTATTATTTGTGGAAATTGAGATTATTGTATTTGAGAATGTTATAACGAGGGAAATTATGATTAAGAAAATTATATTTACTATTGCTACTAAGATTATTGAGTTTAAAACTAAGTAAATTGTACCTACTAGCATTGTAGCTCTGATTATAATTATTGTTAATTGTTCTCTTAATTGTTATTTTTTTACTTTCCTTCTATTTCTTCTTCCACTTTGAATGATTATTAAATTTTTTTAAATTTTCTTATTTTTTTCATTCCCTAACTCTATTTCAATCCATCCTCTTCTAAAACCCTTACTTTACTAGGTACAATATAATAAGGATTTAAAATTTTTCCATATTATTTTCTGATAAAGGAATAAAATCTATTTTTAATCATGTTTTCCTAAAATTTATGTTATTTTTACAGGTCTTCCTGGCATTTTCTTTGACATATCTGACCATCTTGTGCCCATTTTTTAGTACATTTCCCAAATCTTTTTATCTTCCTGCTTAGTCCAAGGTGTTTTAATGATATTAGAATCCAAATGATTTACATATCTCTCTCTTATCTATCGACCTGTTCTATTTGGAATCTCATTTGCTATTTATTTCCAGTTAAATTAATATATTTTTGTAAGTCTTAATACTTCTTTATCCTCTTCTTCTGTCCATTTTTAATTTCTTTCATTCTAATCCTAATTTAAATCTTCTTACTTCCTTCGGCTTTATTCTTTTCCATCTTTGTGCACATTAAGATGCATTCCTACCAGGAACAAACTCAGCAATCAACTTCCAATTAGAACCGTGTTTAAACACAGCAGCATGCAATTTATTATCTTCCTCCTCTTTCCAATACTTTCTACTTTGCTACTTTTGATCGGAATCTTATTCAATAACTTAATTATTTCCTCTTCTTTTCATTCTAATGATTATATTTGTTGTTAAGTCGTACCTTTTACTTCTGGAATAACAATATTAATTAATTTGAAAAAGAAATTCTATAATATAATGGAATTATTATAAGACTCTTTAATATGAAGTTTTCTTTGTGAAAAAAGTTACTTATTATAATTCATTCTAACTTGAATCTTTGAAACATTATTTAAATTAAAAAAATTTAGATTTTATGAATTAGAATTAACCATATTTAATAATATAAACAACTCAAAACTTAATAATAGGTTGAAATTCCTATATCTGGTAATAAATTGATTGATTTGAAAGCCATTTTCATTCTGATTTTCTAAAGAATATTCAATTATTTTATGTTTAAGTGATTAAGTATTATAAAAAAGTAATGAAAAAAAATAATTATAATCGAATATTCTATTGATAAATTGATATAATTATCAAATATTATAATTTAATCCTTTTAAATATTCTTATCCATTTAATTCAGGGTTTTCCCTAAGGGATTAGAGAACAAGATCAAATCCAATTTGACCTTAGTCCTCTGGACCAAATATTCCACCAGGAGTATGTATAATTGGCTCAAATAAAATGTATTTATCTCCAACTAATTACCCTCCCTTAAAATTTGTAACAATTAATGCTCCAGAAGTAAAATCACTTGTGAATTATGAAAAGGCATTGAACAGTTTGATTATTGAATTATCAACATTTTACTGAAAACTCTTATAATCTTAATTCAATAATTCTTATCCAAGGTAGATATCTAATTTAGAAGCTATAACTTACTATCTCCAATAGTGAACAAATGTGGTAGCTAAAATTCAAATTTGAATGGTGGCTTTGTTATTTTTTATTAAAAGCATTCAGCTAAAACTTGGGCAACAATTATTTAATATGCTAAAAATATAGCATGTTCTTCCTTTGTTATACCTTCATGTCCATCAATAATTTTAAGTGCAAATACTTTTTTTTCAAGAGACTTATCATTATGATAAATCTATTAAATCTGCATTAGAAAACATTTTGATTTAGTTCCTTAACCATCCTTAAATAATAATTAGCAATCTTACTTTATTTATTGATTTTAAGACTTTCAACATTTTTTAAGGATTCTTTTTGATGAATTCATTTATAGATTTATCTGATTTAAATTGCAACCATTATAATACATTTTACCCAGATTCAATTGAAAGTTTTTTAACTGTTGCATCACAAATATTTGTATTGGCATTTTACTATTTCTCAAACTCATATGGATTTAGCTTTTTTCGATACATTGCATCAATTGGGGTTATGAATAAATCATTTAATTGTTTAAAAGGATTATTTTCAATAAAGTAACTTATAAATTTCAAGTTATTATCTACTTTTTCTAATTATTTTAATTTTATTAATTTTTCCTAATTATCAACTGTCAAACTGGTATAATCTGATTATAGTTTTTCCTTATCTTTTTTGAGCAATATAATCTCTTCTGAAAGTTGATTGATTTTTTTTTCTTTTTCGCTGATAATATTATTTCTCACAATTATTAATTCATCTTTTGAGTGAGTAGATTGTTTAAATTAATCTAAAATCACTTATGTATCCTAAAGAATTTTGCTTTTTTAATCAACTTCTTTTTGTAGTTTTTCTTATTGATAGTTAGTTTTTTTTAATTCTTCCCTTAAATTTTAAAATTTCCCTTCTAGTATTTATTAATCCCTGAGAGCATTAATATTAGCTTATTAAAGAGATGTATTTTTCTAAATTTCTTAGGTAAGCTAATCTTATTTTTGATTTAATTTTTTCTCTAGTTCCTCTAACAACTTTTCTTATTTTTACTTTATATCTTTTAGCTATGTTGTTGATTTTATTGATTATTCTAATTCTAATTTCAATCTATAACTCTCAAGATTAGTGCTATTTTATAAATCATTTTAAAAATTTGGCTTTTCTTACTATTATTTTTTTAAATTTCTTAATTTCTCTTCTAAAAGAGAACATTTCTCTCTAAATTCATTTCTTTCTTAAAGTAATTCTTCTATTTATTTATTCAATGCTGTCATCTCAATTTTTGTGTTTTAAGTCTTCGAATCATTATTGGATTATTAATTTATAATTTCTATTTTTTGTTCTTATTTAGATGCTAAACGATTTAGAATATCATTGAATAAATATAATTCTATTTCAGGTTTCTCGTCTAGGTCGATAATACTTATATTAATATAGACTCATATTACCTATCCACAGTTTCTTATTCATAAATGACTCTTTTTTTTTATTTTGAATAGCAAATTATATTCTATTAATCAATTTCTTCATTTTAATCTAAATAATGGTATATAATATTACCAAGAATAAATTAAATTGCTTATTTCAATAAGCTTTCCTATTATGTAAACTGAAATGTGATGGAATTTAAATTTGGAATATTTTATGGCTATATTTAAATCTTTATCTTTTTTTATTAATTCATTTTATTATTAATAATTTTAATTAAAATTTATATGCATAAATAAACTTAAATACCATCCAATCTTAACAAAACGTATCTAATAAATTATTCAAAATATTTATAGTTTTTAATTTGGTTAAATGATTAAATAAGATAAAATGTTGAACTAAAAGAGAAGAGAGAATTTTAATTGAGATAGTTCTTTTCCTAATAGAAATCGAATTCATTCAAAGATATAGCAAATTTAATTATTTCACCTATTTCCCTGAGTTTGCTACTTTTTAAGACTAATATAATTACAAAATTAAAATTTTAATAATAAATTATCTATTGAATTGAAAACTTTAATTATAATAAGAATGCTTATTTATTTTAATATTTTGATTTCTTTTAATATAAATTAAGTACATTGTTAAATTAATTATTTTTATATCTCATAACCAAATACATTCAACTCACTAATTTAATCAATTCTTAACATAAACGTGGATATTTGAAATTCTTCACTGCTTATTCTGCTTCCTTTAATACAACTCCTTTCTCAGGACATTTCAATAAACACTCAAAAACTGCTCTTTGAACTTCTTCACTCGAATCATCTAAGTGAATCAATGTAGCCTTGACAATATATTCCAATATTGTTGTTGAATCATATTTTTATTACATAATTGCAGCAATTGCATAAGTAATTTCTATTCTAATTTAATTTTGAGAATCATCTAATCTTTCCAAAAGAGAAGGATAGAAATCCCTTATAATTTCATAATTTAAAATCTAACATTTTTTTATTAAACTTGTTGCCAATTTACTAGATGCAAATCTCAAATCTGGTGCCCAATCATCTGTCATACAGGATTTCAATGGTGCAGCTAAAGCTGGAAATAATTCCAATATTTCTTCTTAAGTAAGCATCTCACTCAAATAAAGTGTAATTATTACAGCAGCTTTTCTTACTTTTACAGTTGGTTTATTTGATTTCCATACCATTGATTATATTAACAATTATGATATCATCACTGCAGCATACATTTTTATAGTTTCTTTGATTGATTAAATTTAAACCACTTTGTCTAATAACAAAAGCACTTCCAAACGTAATTCCACTTCCTAATCACCTCCCAAAGAATATTTCATTATTTATATAATTTATTGCATGTATTTAGATATACCATCTCCACATCCTGTTACAATTGCCTTAAATTTTAAAAATTCCCTAGTGTTGTGTTTCCATGTCTTAAAATGTTCTTAATTTACTATTTGTTCTAGAATTAAACTTATTTCATTTGCATGTAAATCAGTTACACTAGTATAACCACATTTAGTTGACAATTAATTAAGTAATGGTTCACAATCCATCTTATTAAATGATCTTATTGTCAAAAGTGCTTAGAATAACTATCTAACATAAATTGGTAATTCTTGTTGAGATTAACCTATAATTCTATTTTCTAAATAATAAACACATTCCATCACTTCCCAACAATCAGAATAGACACTTTCAATATCTCCAATTAGATGAACCAAACTTTAAAGATCAAGATTGTCATTTTCATGTACTATCGTTTCACTTATCATATTAATAAGATTGCATAAAGTTTTTGATTATTATGCTTATAATTCAAATCTTGCTTAGTTTATCATCGTTGGTAAATAATAATCTATTTGAATCTTTAATCCAATTACATAACATATTTATTTACACTAATCATGATATATATTTATATTTACTTCATTCAAATAATATTTATCATCATTTGTATAAATTTTGGCCAATAACTTAAATATTTAAGTAAGATATTCTCCAATATCTGCAATACAACAGATCATCTTTAATTATTATAGAGCCTTTAATTTTTATATCTGAGTCGATTGAAATTCAGCAGCATCCTTTAAAACCATTTAAATTAATTGAGGTAGATTTTTAGTTATTATGTACTTTTATCCCTCAGTTATTGAAGCAAATGGTGATACTTTATTAATTAAACTTTGATTTTTTTCCATTAATTATATTTTATGTTAGAAATATCGAATTTATTCTAATTTTTAATGATACTTATAATGAATTATTAATAAAAAATTATTAATATAATTGAATAAAACCTAAGAACTTTAATTCATATAATAAAATATAGGAGATCACTATTAAGAGAATCATTTCACAATAGATATAATGTTGATTAGATAAGACTAAATATCTTATTTTATAAACTATTACTGTATTAGATAATAGTAGTTAATATTTTATAAGACAAGAATATAAATAACTTAATCTTAAATAAAATAATTATACAGATCTAAATTATTCATCTGATAAACTAATATTATCTCTTTGATTGTAAATTAACCAATTCTTTGATAAAATAGATTTAATTATATCTTAATGGTAATGATATTCATGTAAAAGAATATATAGAAGAGTAAAGTTATAGGATAAATATTCATAAATAACTAAGGAATAGAGATACAATAACAATTAGATGAACTCTAAAATATAATGAATATATGAGGTTTTGAATTATATAGATATATTATTGCTTAAATTAATTATATTATATATATATATATATAATTAATATAAATGACTGATAATCAATAAGTTCCTTTTGGAAGTGGAATGTTTTAAGGTCAAGCAAAGTTTGTGGATTATGCTCATATGAATTAATAAGAAGTATAAGTGAACACTTTAGATGAGCCAGTTACGGATACTTTAGTAAATTTGATTTTGATTATAAAGTTGAGAGATATCAATATGATACTATATAAATTATCATATGTCATAATTCCAAGAATGAAGGAAACCCAAGGAAGGAAATTAAGAAATTGTAAAAGAATAGATTAAATTAAATTAGGGGATTTATGGGGACCACTTCTTTTATCATTATTGTTAGCGATGTAAATATAAAATGATTATAAATTAGGACTTTAGGAATAAATTCTAATCAATCATGTACTAGTTGAGATAATTGATTTTTAGCTGATACTATCTTTGGTACAATTTTTATTATAATGTGGGGTGGATCTGCAGTAATAACGTAAGTTTAAAGTTTAAGTTTGAATTTAGAGTAAATGCAAAATTGTTAGGTGGATAAGTTTCATTTTTTTAGAGTGTTTGTGTACTTGGTTATTGTGTATTTCCAATAAATATAGCTGCTGTTTTGATAACTTTCTTTTAATCATATTTTGGATTTTTCTTAAGAATAATAATTGTTGGAGTTGCATTTTTATGGTCAACATTTTGTATATTTATTAACACTATTAATAGCTTCGTTGTCTTTCATGAGTAGTATGATGAATGAAGAAAAGAAAGTTATTTCAGTTTATCCAATATTTTTATTTTACATGTTTCTGTCATGGTTTTGCATTTTTATTTGAATTTTATAATAGAATTTATGATCATTTGAAATTTATTTTAAGATAATAATAAATATATATAAACTAAGTCAATTAATTTTAATTTTAAATCTCTATAATTAATCTATTAATGAAGGTTGTTTCAACTTATAAATATCTTAATTATCCTTTATATATAATCTCAATTATTTGTGTCTCAATATAATATTAAATGCCAATCGCAATTGAGATTCTTCAAATTAATTACAATCATTGAATTTAATTAACAATGTTATAATAAGTTCACTCAAAACCTTCTATTTATTAGCTCTGATATAATAAATCATTTATCCACAACGTTTTAGAAAGACAACTATCATTTGAAGATTTGATTCGTAACCCTTTTGCAAATATACTTTGATGATTTCCATTAAAGATTCATCTAGATCATCTCTAGTCATAATTTCTTCACTTAATGTGAATAAGATAGATAGTATTTATGAAATTTGAAGTTACTACTAAACTGATGAAATCACAAGGTGTTTAATTAATTATGGTATACATTATAGACCTCTCAAATCTATGGTTTCTATTTAGCAAATGTCTTATGCTAATTATAAAATATTTGAATTTTTAGCTAATACTCTTTCTTAAATTTGCTGAATCAAATCATCAAATGTTCCTAATTCACTTAATTAATATTCACTCTATTCTTCTAATTATTGAATAACCTTATGATTTTTGTTTGTAGTTATTTTAATTATGACTGGTTCCTTAACATTTTATTGTTTTGAAACAATTTTTGCTGAAAAGCGTTATACTCCATAATAGTTTTTAGATTTTGGTTATTCAATCATTCTTGGTTTGTTTAAAGATTGTCTAATCATAACATCTGGTGTAAATGGTTATTGAATTTACCCTTAAAATCTAATTGCTTCTGTAAATGTAGAGGTTTTATTCATTAACTGTGGAAATTAAAAAACTTAAGGCTTAAGACATGCTTTATTATTTTAATTTCTAGAAGGTGCTATTTATTTCTTTAATTATTGATTCCTTTTAATCATTTTTTATATTAATTATAATTATTTACATAAATATTCAATCATATTCTTTACAAAACTACTCTCTATTTATTAGTAGTTAGAAATTCAATCTCTCCTTATAATTACACTATATTGTTAAATTTATCCTTAAAATTTGAATATACAAAATAAGGAAGGGGATTGTAAATTCAAGAACTACAAAAAGTCTAATTAATATAAACTTACCAATCTAAAAGTATGTATGAGGAATAATGAGTTATCTAGCCATCTTTGTAAAATAAAGATATAAAATTGTAAAAGAATAATCTAAATTAAAATTATCAAAGAATTCTTCCATATTTTTGGAATTTAGATTAAATTCAAAGTTGATCCAAATTTTTAATTAATCCAATTAACAATTTTTCTAGAATTTTTTATAAATAATAAATTATCATTTTTTAGGATTATAATTCCACCTTTTAATGAATATTAAATAGTTTTAGTTCTTTTCTTCTTTTTGTTAATTTTTATAGATAATTCTAAGTATTTTTTAAAGATGAAATAATTTAATTTTATCACAGTATCGTTTGATCCTTAATTAACTCAAAAATGGTTGATATAATTGATTCAATAATGGATATTCATAAATATAGAAAAAGGAGATATTTATAATTTTATTCAAATAATTACTTTGTAATATTAAATTTGAATAGAAATCAAATATTATATTATTGATAATAAGATTAAACATATTAATAGATATATTATAATTTTTATATACATCAAGTCCATAGACTTACTACTCCTTCTTTACTTGCTGAATAAATCCATGGCTAAGTTGGATGAAATGCAACATCCATCACAGATTCCTTTTTCTTTTATTTCAACACTTTCAAAGGTAGAATTACTGGTGCTTGATTCAAATCAGTACTAATACGGCAATGGAAAATATTAATAGTTCCTATGATAAGAAAATATTATACCATCATCAGAGCAAGAGGCAAATAAAGGATATGTCTTATGGAAAATTACACGTCTAACTCCATTTTTATGATAACTCATTTTTTTGAAAGGAGTTTTGCCCATATCTAAATCAAACCAACAGACTTTTTAATCATTTGATCCTACAATTAAATTATCTCCATAAGGATGTATTGCAATTGTTGAGTTTTATTAATTACCTGCAAGTAGTTTTTTCATTAATGATTATTTGGTTAATGAATAAATAAAAATGTTTTTATTTGTCATAATATATAATTCTGGTTTTGTAGGGTGGAAGATAGTTTATTAAACTTCAGTTGATGCTTTCATATTTTAAAAGGGAATAGATGTTGATGATTTACTAATAGAATGAACTAAAATGCAATGAGATTTCACATGAGTATGAGGCTATGTACTCACAATGTAATCAGATTTACTATGAAATTAAACATACAATGGATCATAAGGCATTTTTACTTCAAGTAATTATTAAAAAACATTGTCATCCAATTCAAAATTCCATTCGAAAACATTGTTTGAGTTTTTTGGAATTTATTTATTTGCTTTTTCACCATCTTCAACATTTGGATGTTATCTTTTATCAATATATGAATTTAAAATAATGAATCCATTTGATTATAGAATACAAATTAATCCAGATTAACTGAAATCTAATCCCAAAAATTATTTATCATCTGATTACCATTTTGTATATAAACATTTAGTTGTTTTTGTATCAAAAAAGGCAATAGCAAATTCATAACATACTCCTAAGAGTTAACCATCTTATGATATAGAAATTTGTTTCACTTAACCTGACTTTGTTGTATCGATCTAACCAAATTCAAAATTTAATTTTGTTGGAAAAGGTTTTAATTCTTCAGGTTTAGGAATTTCAGGTAAAAAGTCTGTTGATTTCATCATCAATTTCTTTCTTCTAATTCTAGGTGCCAAATATAAATCTAAACATCGATTGAATAAATCTTTTGTTAATTATTCAGATGAAGGAACATTTCTTAAATGTTTAAATTTTTATGGGATAAATGGTATATCTCTATCTTCTGGATCAGTTTATAACCACTATTACTTTTCTTATTCAGTAAATAGATACTCTTCTGGAGGATTATAACTAGCAACATTAGATGGTAATGGAGCCTTAGCTGCTGGTATTCTGGCTGGTAAGTATTTGCTTAATACTTAATCTTCAGCAACATTTTCCCACATATCAAACATCTTTTCAACTTTTTAAGGAGGATTTAAAACAATTCTCCCTAATTTTATACCTTATACTAATTTATTAATTTTTATTCTTTCCCATTTTGAAGGCAAGAATCTTCTTTTAGGATTATAAGATGATAAGAGATCAAATTGATTAAAATCTTCATGTTCAAAATAATACTAAAATAGAGATATATATTTACATCATCTGCTAATTTGATTGCAGTTTTTCCTGTTCTAATTCTGTCTAACATTTATAATTGCTTATCACTTAATACTACATCTTAGTTGTTTAATTCATCTCTAACTACTCTCCACCAATCTTTATTTTCAGCCTTATTAATAAATTCATCAATAGTATCTTAAAACTATTTTTTTTTCTAAATTTTGTTTAGATTCTCATCATAACCAATAAAATCTTTATCTTTATATTTCTTTGTTTGTAATCTTCCAATTTTTGATAATATCTATATTAATTATTCTAAATAATACTTTTTCATCTTCACTATCATCAGATTCTTAATAGAATTGATCATGAATGTTCTTTGGTTATAATGATAAGTCCTTTTTAATTGATTTCTTATTTCTAATTGCTCTAATATTTATTGTATTGTTTTAATTCATTAATTATAAATTTAATTTAAGAACAAATTATATTTAAAATATCTCATTTAGGCCCACCATTAATAAAATTATAATGATCATTTGGTTTTTTTGATGCCAAAGATTATAGTACTTTTGAAGGATGAAACTCATTTTAATATACTCTTTTTTAAGGACAATAATTTGGAATTTTAGAAGGAAATAAAAATTAATTACTATGAACAGGACTAAAACCACCCATAGCCATACTAGAGAGATCTAAAACTGCTGGTTAGACTTGATCTCTATCTACACTAAGTCTAGATAATCTTGGAACATGTGTTTATCTAATAGGTCTAATAGCAGATCGAAAATTAGGTTCATAATTGATTGGATTAGGATTAAGTATTGTAGTATTAGTTATTATTTCTTTTGGTGGTTCAACTTGAGTTTATAAAGGTTTTAGTTTAATTTAATTTTTTGTTACATTATTACTATTGGTATTATTATTAATAAGTTTGATAGGACTAGGAGCATAAGAATTACTTGGTTTTTCTTTTATTCCTTATTGAGAATTATTAATGCTTTCATTTTTTTAGATGTATAATTTAGTTTAAGTTTTAATAGGAGATTTTCTTTTCTTTTTTGGAGATTTTGTTATTGGATTGATTTACATAGACATATCATGATATGATTTTTCGAATGCACTAGTATCATTTTATAAGTCATTATCTGGTAAAAGCATATCAGGTTAAGATTCATTTTACTCTAATTTGACTTCATCATTATCAGGATCATTGATTGGTTCTTCTACATTCATTTTACTACTAGAAGATTTCCTGGTTCGAATAATGAATTATAATTTAGCTTAAACAGTTGATAAAGCTTGACTCTACACCTATTATTTAATTTATTTTTCACTTTCAACCTTTTGTGCTATCAATATTTCATTTGTATTTACTTTATAAAACCAATTTCCTTTATTATTCAGTTAAAGTTTTCTAATACTCTTCAAACAATTCATCATAAAATTCCTTATTAATAGTCAATTTCCCTTCCTTTTTATTCTTATCTTCCTTTAATTTAGACTTTTACTCTGAAAATCTATTACATATTTCTCTATTTTCTAATTTCTTCATATAACCCATTTTTGATAAACACATTACTGATTTAATTAGATTCAAAAGTTTCTATTATTAAATCCAAGTATGAAAGATCTCTTCCATGGTTTAGGGTACTTCAACATCGTGTTGATCATTTAACCATGGATGAAGTAATCCTTAATCAGCTCTGTATCTTTTGGTTTGGTCCAACTCAGTTAATTTTTTAAATAGACTGTATTACAATCTAAAATTCTTATATCATTTTAGATTGTTACTAAGTAAGACTGCCTTGCTCATGCATTCCTTTGGTTTTTTGTAAAATCTATTCAAGAGAATCTCCTTGTTTATAATATGGATGCTATCCATAATTAAGTAACATAAACATGATTACACCAACACTCCAAATATCTACATTCTTAAGATAGAATAAATCAATACCTTGCTATAAATTTTATTCATTAAAAGTTCTGGTGCCATGAAGATTAGGGTTCCACATTATTTAGTCATTAATTAATTCTAAACCTAACTCAATCCAAAATCACTTAATTTAACACAACTTAAATCATCATTGACTAAAATATTCTCTGGCTTTAGATCTCTATGTACAACATTATTATTATGCATATATGCCAAAGCTTATAAGATATTCCTAATAATTGTTTTGCATTGATCTTCTGTAAACCATTTGTTACTCTTATGCAATTTCTACATTAAATCTTCTAAAGAACCTATACTTGTATAAGTTTGTGTACCTCCTTATATAAGTTCCATTATAATTAAAATTCTAGTATCAGTTTCCTTAACATCTATAAACTTTACTATATTCTCATGTCTTAAACTAGCCAAAATAGTTGATTCTTATTTCAATTAATCATATCGATTCACTAATTTCTTCTTTATTATCTATCAGTATAAATTGACAGAACATACTTTTATTGCCACTTCCTATTATGTTGTCAAGTTAACTGCACTAACTACAATACCAAATGCACCTTGGCCAATTGTTGCCTTATATTAAAAATAGTCACTAAATTTTCTCATTTCATCTCCTTCTATCAGTTTCTACAATTGATCATCCATTTTTTTAATATTATTATATAATATATCATATGATGCAATAAAATATAATATTTATATACTAATTCATATACTTATGATTATGACACTTATTTCATTAATTTAATCTTTAATCTTTCATTCTATTTCATATTTCTTTAATTTCATAATCTCATCAAACATTTACTACTAAATAAGTTTATTAGCTCAATTATATAATATTCAATTTAATAAATGGGATCAGTTTGTGCAAAGAAAAAAGAACCTAGGATTAATTAAGTTATACAAGAACAATCTGCCTCACCTTATATGCCTGATCAGCAATCCTCTTTGTTATTCTAAGATAAAAAGACTCAACCTTAGACATTAATCAAAGTTAAAATCCCTAAAGTAAACTATTTTCATTAGTTCTTTCTTAGAAAAACAAAAAAGTAAGAGAAACTGTTAAAGCAGTCACTTTGAAAAATGAAGAAGTAAATATATATCAAAATAAATCTATTTAGGGACAAAAAATGTTAAATGATTATGTTTTCGATGAATTTTTAGGTTAAGGTGCTTTTGGTAAAGTCAAACTGGCACATAAGAAAGGAGATCCTACTCAAAGATTTGCCATTAAAATACTTAAAAAAAGCAAACTTAAAAGATAAAGAGAATTTGTTAAAGATGCTAATGGAAGTATAACTATCTTCATTAATTCATTATAGATTTAGTTGTTAAAGATGCATTATAAGATGTTAGAAAGGAAATTGCAATCATGAAAAAAATAAGTCACCATAACCTTATTCAACTTTATGAAGTTATTGACAATCCTACAAGTGATAAATTGTTTATGGGTAAAGTTTCTTATTTTTATACTCTAGTTCTTGAATTTGCAGAAGGAGGTTAACTAATTGAATGGGATGATGATGAAGGCAAATTTTATAAATTGAATGAAGATGAAGAATTGACAGAAGAATTACTTTCTTCTCTTTTTAGAGATTGTATAAAAGGCTTAGCATTTCGTATTATGCTTCAATATATATATAGTCCATAAAAATAAAATTGTACATAGAGATCTCAAACCTTAAAATGTATTAATGTCAGGTAAAACTGCCAAAATTGCAGATTTTGGAGTTTCTTAAGTTGTAGGTTCCAAAAATGATGTACTTGATAACACTTAAGGAACATATTATTTTATGCCTCCTGAAGCTTGTGATAAAGAAACAGCTAAAGATGGATATTCTGGAAGGGCTGCTGATATTTGGGCACTAGGTATCACCTTCTTTGCTTTTACCTATTTAAGTGTCCCTTTTACTGGAAATAACATTCCTGATATACTGAAGAACATATCATAAAATGAGTACATCTTTATTCAAATACATAGAGTGGTTTTTCCTGATAATTCTGCTATTAGTAATGGGCTTAAAGAATTTATACATTTCATTTTGAATAAAGATCCTAAAAAGAGACCAACAATAAATGAAATTGCAAAGCATCCTTGGATTAATTAGAGCTCAGCTTATCTATTAGATGAAATGTAAAATACTATTAAATTTCAATAATATTAGGGATCAAGAAGAAAAAGTTATGGAAGTTTCATAAGTTGATATTGATAATGCATTTTCCTTAGTTTCATTAATGAAAATTAAAAGTTGGGCATAAAAATGGAGAACTGAATCTAATCTAAAAAAAGCAGGACCATAAAATTCAGTTGAAGAAATAGAGATTAAGTGATTCTAAAATATATTGAATTTAAACTTAATTTTGTTTCGAATTAATTACATATCATTAACTTTCAATTTAAAATCTAATATATAAGTTTTGATTCAATGAAAAAATATTTAGTAAGGATAGAGTATTATTTTGTTGTATTAATTTTACATTAGATATACTTTGATGTAAAAACTTTATATATAATATTGAATAAATTGTATAATCAAAGATATAATTTTAAAAAATTAAATTATTTTTTAAATATTTTCTTATAAATTTAGATTAATTTTTATTATTCAAATGAATCCAACAGAAATCAAATCGATTTATAATTATATAAATAACAATTAATCACTTATGTAATTTAAATGAATTTTTCAAATCTTTAGATAATTTAATTAAACCTATTTCATAATTCAATATCAATAACTATCTATTTATATGACTATTTAAATATTAAAAAATCAACTTAAATTTATGAATTATAATTTAAAATTATATATATTTATATAAAAAATACAAAAATAAATTGATAAAATTCAGCTTTAATTTCTGAATTCTTCCAATTACCTTTAATGTTCTCTAATTTTTAATCAATATATAATTACCGCTTAATTTAATCAAGTCTTTAGTTAGTTTTATTTCTTTCTATCTGAAATAATTTCTCAAGTCTCTTTTATTCTTCTTAATTTTTTGCATTAGCCATAGCTTATTCTCTTTCAAATTCCAATTATTATTCCTCTTCTAAAACCTATTAATTTAAATTAATTAATACATCTATCATTTCTTAATTTTATCTAACTTTTAATTAATCAATCTAATTTTCGTATTTATTAGACATACTAAACTTTCCTTAATTTGAAGAACCAAATTAAGTATTTGAAGAATTCGTAAATACTTTTTATTATTATGATTTTGGCCTTTTATTATGCCTCATATCTTTATTTGATAGAGTATTTTAATATTTTGCAGTTGAGGCTATTAATAATTTAATATTATACGTCTAACATTATGATAACTGTTCTGTAAACTATTAGATGCTCGTATACTATTACCATCTTGATTTAAAGCTGATGGATCAAGTTTCCCTAATTTTACTAACTCTAATTTTTGCATTAATTCTTATTTTTGAAATCCTATCTCTTTCTTGATCAACATTCTTTATTCTAACATTTAGTTTTTCTCCAGTTATAAAATTTCAGCTCTTCTCATTTTGTCTTATAATTTTTATCTTTGTAATTCTTTCTCATATTCTTATAATCTCATGATTCTTTCTAAGGCTTCCTTTTTATCTTATTCCTTTAAAAGCTCTTTAACTTTTTACTCATGTTAGATTTATTATTTTTCAAATTATTTCTTAAATAATTGAATTATTGCTTACCTCATAGATTATTTATTCCTTTTCTTAAAATTTCCTAAGAAAATCATTAGTCTTTTCTTTCAATTGTTACTCATTGTTTTATAATACTTATTGTCTTTATAATTCTTTTTCATAAATTTATTATTTCCTAGAAATTATTTCTTATTATTTTAATCTTTCTAATTCTTCCTTTCTTTATTCTACCTCTTATAATTTACTAAAATAATCATATTTCTTTTTTTCTTCTTGCATCTAATTCTTTTCCATAACTTCCTTAATTTTCTCTTGATGTTATAATGCTTACATTTAATTTTCATACATCTTTTACATTTTCATTTCTTCAAATTCTCTTCTTCTCTATTCAATTTTTTATTATTTTAAATCAAAAGACTAATTATACTAATTTCAAATACTTTCTTCATATTAGACAATTATTCATCCTATTTAACTCTAGCATTCATTAATTTTAAAGCCAATTCTTATTAAGCTTGTTATGATTCTTAAATTCTTTGTTATCTTTAAATCTCAATAGTTTATAATCTTTCAGCTTCTTTTTGTTACATAATTAATCTTTTCTTTTGCATTTCTTCTTCATATTATTATTAAATTTATTATGTTTATTATTAGAATTGCATTTATTTTAATCTTCTCTCTTCTTCTTTCTTTTTTGCTTCCATTTTTAAATAGATTTATTTTTCTTATTCCATTTTAGCTCTTTCCTATTCTCTTCTAAAATGTTCACTAGCTAATTATTTATTATATCTCTCTTCATCTTATTATTTCCTTTTTTTCTCTTCCTCTCTCATTTATTTTTCTTATTCCTATTACATTCTTTTTTCTTATAATTCTTATTCTCTTCTCATTTATTTTTCAATTTATATTCTTTATTTCTCCTCATTTCTCTCTCTAATTTCTTACATTCTTCTCTCATACTCCAACATTTAATCTATTTCTTTTTGCTATCGTTATTTCATCTTCTCCAATTCCTTTTTCTCTCTCTCAATTGCATTACTTTATTGATCTGACATTCTTGAATCCTTAAAGTTTTATTCATTATATTCATTTCCTTACATACCTCCTGCTTGAATAATTTATTATCTAGTCTCAATACAAGCTTCTAGTTTTTATTATCTTTTTATTTCTTGATGTTCCCAGAATTTTTACCAATCTTGTTTGTCCAGTTTCAAATCTGGTCGTCTTTATTTTAATTCTTATAAACTTATCTAAATTAATTCTTGAGGTAGAATTCCAATTAAACGACAAGCCTAAATTGATCGTGGACTTTTGTATTGAAGATATCATACCTATCAAGAATTGGATTTTTGAATTTTGTTTGATCAAAATTTTCCAAATTAATCATATATATTTTATCAAAATAAGTTTTAATTTTATTAATGAATATTTTTAAAATACCTTAATTATACATTGGGGGTTATAAATGTTTTGATGTAATTTACATAATTCTGTAGAAGAATAAATAAACTAATCAAAGTTATTTGTTTGAATTTTTATATCAAAAGTTCTCATCTATATCTTGTTTTTATTATAATAATATTTATATTTATCACTTATAAAGTGTAATAAATTGAAGATATTATATTGTATTGTAATAGTTTTGTTTCAATAAATACTTTAATAAATCTTAAGAAGGAATTCAGATATTTATAATTTGTTATGTATTTATTTATTATGATTATAGTTATGCAACATAACTACAAAAAGGAGTTAAAAAATATTATTGATAAATAAATTATATTCATAATTTTTATATGTGTTATAAAAGTATTCGTTAAGCTAAGGCGGCTGTCAATAATTTTTATTAATAAATTGTCAATGAACCTCAGTATGTAACCAAGAACTATTTCACCAACTAAATATTCACAAGTCTTAGCAAGTCAAGATTTCTCTTAACCAGGTACTGTAAAGAAAGCACATCCACTCAATAATCAATCACCTTACATCCATTCACCTGTCTAAAATAAAATGAACTTTAGCATTGTATCAGAAGATGCAGAAAATTATCGAATCAAATGTTATGAACTTGAAAGAGAGTTGGCCAAATATAAGGCTGATAATGAACTTTAACGTCTTGTTTAGCAAAAGAGTGGTGACTTAGAGTATAAAGTAGTTGAAGTCTTAGAATCTAATAATGCTCTGTAAGGGTAATTGGAAAGAGCTTAAAAGGTAGCTTTGTAAAGAAAAAGTGAATCTGAGATGTGGAAATAAAAATATGAAGCTTAAATGGGATCTCTAATGTAGATTAGATAGAATTATGAATCTGAGATAAAGGCTCTTACTTTGGAAGTATAAAAAGCTAATGCTAGAAGTAGTGCATTGGATTAAGAGAAGAATAGAATAATTTCAGATTAAAGAAATGTAGCTGATAACTAAACAACTTAAATTTAGGAAACATTCAAACGATCAAATAATTCTTAAGCTGATATGTATGAAGCATAACTCAAAAAACTTAGAGATATGCTTGAAGATAGAACATTATAAGTTGCTTAATTGTAATCTTAAATTGAAAGATAAAAAGTAGAATCTTAAGATACTTAATTAAGATTAATGAATGAGATAGATATAACAAAATCTAGATTAAGTGCTATTTAAATAGATCATCAAAATGAATTATTAGCATAAAAATAAAAATTGGAATTGTATCAAGAAACAAATTTAAGAAATTAATAAACAGCTCATGAGAATTAATAAGATGTTTAAGGATCAGAAATAGTGAAATTAAAGAATTTATTAGAAATTAAGACTTAAGAGATTGAAACATTAATAAATTAAAATCAAAAATAAAAGTTATAATCAGAATCAGAAATTTAATGTTTGAGAACTGAAATTGAAATGTTAAGAAGATAAATCTTAAGTAATGAATAATTACATCAATAAGAGAATCATAATATCTAAACTAATTTAGATAATATTCATAATAATGATACAACTAATCTTAAATTAACACATGAAAATTAATTATAGGCTTTACATAAAGAAATTTTAAAACTTAAAGAAATTATTGATCATAAAAATTAAGATATCTAAAAATTAGTTGTTGAAAAATAATAATAAAAGGATTATTATGATGGAGAAATCTAAAGATTAATTAATACTATTGAAGATTAAAAAAGAAAAGGTATTTTATTAGAAAATGAAAAAAATAGAGAAATTGCTGATTAACATGCTAGAATTGAAAGATTAACTATTTAATATGAGAATATGTAAATTGATCTTTAAAAATAGATATAATTATTAAATTAAGAAATAATTAATTTAAAGAATTTATTAGATCATAAAAATTAAGAAATTTAATAAAATCTTAAGAATTATTCTTAAATTAAATTAGAATTTGAAGATAAATTAAGAAATTTATAAAATGAATTAGAACTTGTTAAACTTAGATCATTTGAAACTGAAAAATCAAAACTTTAAGAAATTTAAGATTTAAAATCACTTATTAAAGAAATAGATACATAAAATAGAGAAAAATAAAAATAATTAGAATAATAAATAGATCATTAAAAATATGAAATACAAAAAACATTTGATATGTATAATAATAAAATAAAAGAATGTGAAAATTTAACAATACAAAGAAACAATGCTGAACTCATTTAAAAACGTATTTAAGATGATAATGATAAATTGATTGAAAAATTACATCATTTTGAATAAGAGAAGAATTTAGAAATAGATGAATTAAGACATAAAATGGATTCAGGTGCTGCTTATTAATTTGAGAATCTAAAGAGTGCTTATAATACATAAGTAGGATTATTATCAGATTAAATAGCTGATCTTTAAAATTAATTAGCAATTAAGAATAAAGAATTGACTGAAATGTTTGAGAAATACACAATATTGGATAAGAGTCTATTACCTGAAACATTAGTATCCAGAGCTGCTTACAACAGTAGAATTGGAGTTCCAGCTGAATTATTAGCCAATAAGTCTATCCATGATGCTACACTTAAATCCTAATTACGAAATAGTCCAATTTAAAGATATTGATATTATAATATAACTATATGTATAAATCTAATTTTCTATAATTTAATTATGTTAAAAATAGTTTTACTATACCTGAGGAGAATTTTATGAATAAAAGTCAATATAATTTATATATAAAAATATTGTCACCAATTATGATTCATCCCCTCTTTTAAATTCCTGTTGATTATCAAACAGCTTATTAATTTGAGAATGATATCATGCCTAAAAATCAAATGATAGAATATGCTATGAATTAGAATCTCAATGATTTTCCAATTTATCCACAATTCTAATATCCTCAACAAGTATTTAATTACGATATTGTTGTTGATCAGAAATCATAAAACAAAACCAAGAAATCAAAAAAACAAAAGTATTGTTCTAATATTATAGAAGAGATGATTAAAAAGAATTGCTTCCTAAAACTAAAGCTTAATAAGAAGAACCTCAAAAGGAGGATTTGTATTTTATATCCTTTAGCACTTTAGTATGAAACCAGTAGTCTAACCATAATATTCTCTTGTACATTTTACATAGGGTACCTTATTACCTAAATTACAATCTGATATTGTAACTAATAGTTCTCCTGTGGGTACAAAATAGACTTTAAAATCCAATAAACATCATTAAACAAAAAAGCCTAAAAAAGAAAACATCAATACAGGTCATTGGTCAGCAATTGAACATACAACATATGTTAATTTCTTATCATAATATGAAAACATAATGAATTCTTCAATGATGAAGAAAACATCAAAAATATTTAAACAAATGAGTGAATTAATTGGAACACGCACTCCAAGTTAATGTAGAAGTCATCATTAAAAATTTAATCCATATGCTCATAGAGGAGAAAATGGAAAAAGATTACCAAGAAATGAGAGAAGTAGAGCAGGACGCAAAAAGAAAAGTTAATTTTTAGAGATTACTAAAGATGGTAATAATAATATTATATTAAATTAGAATAATTAGTTGAGTAAGATCCATATTATTTGATGTTTGATAAATAGTTTTATTATCATCCATATATTGCTAATGGAATTGAATATTAATAATTTCCTAATGATATGAATCTCAAAAGGGAGGATATTCATGAATATATTCATCAAGTTTAACAATAGGACTATGAAGATTATCTAAAAATTAGACCAGATTATAATAATTAGTTAGATTATTGATTATATAATTATCTTTAATTATTTAATGATTGCCTTAGAGCATTGTTAATAGCTATTAGAGCTATATATCCTTAAATATAGTGTCCCTGATTAGATTAATATACATGATAATGAACCAGTATTTAAGAATTTAAACTAAAGTAAACTCCAGTTTTTGATAGACACACAACTCAACATATTTAATCGGTGTTATGGAAACGTTAATCAATCAAATTAAATGAGAGTTCATCCTAATAAGAATTAGAAATATAAAAAAATTATGGTCTATTTGAAACTTATGAACCAAAACCATATCTTCTTGTTGTTGATAGAGATAAATCTGATGATAAATATAGATTAGAAGCCTTGAAGAAGAAGAAAGATAAAAAAAATGCTAAATGTAGAGATCAAAATTTACCATATAATGAATATATTCATCCAGCAAGATAAATCTAAGTTAAATTATTGTTATCTAAAAAACCATTAAAAGATTATTAAACATATGATTCTGATGGTAGTATTATGAGAAAGAGAGAATAAGTTAAATAATTAAGTCCTATAGTTAATACAATCAAAAGTAAATTATAAGGAAGAGTTGATAAAATAAAATCAGAAGCTGTTGCTGAAGAAAATATTATTAATTAATAAGCTCTGTTTAAATTAAAGGTATCTACTAAAGTTAAAACATAATATGATGAACCATATAATTTTGAAGCATTCCCTTTAAAACCAGGAGTTAAATTAACATTTACATAAGAAAAAAAGAAAAAAGAAGAAGAAAAAGTAAATAATGATGAAGAAGATTTAACTGATGCTGATGCTTATCAACTCTAAAAGTTTATAAAAAAACAAAGTTTTACAGCACTACCTTTATTTAAATTACCTAAAAAAAAACATAATGCACCTCATGAAAGATCCTTCCGTACAATTAGATAAAGTAAAGGATTTGATTACTTTTGATATTTCAATAGTTATTAATAATAAATCATTAAAAAATAATTTCTATTCATATTTATTATTATTCTATACAATAATAATAATCAAAGATATATAAACTAAATACATAAATTTAAATTTCTGTAGTTAATTAATATAACAATTGTTTAATTAATTTAGAAATATAAATTAATTAAAAATAATAATAATTAAATAACTAAATAAGTTTATAAGTGAATAAGAATTGAATCTTTTCAAAACTAATTTGTTAAAAT